GATAAATCATCTTGGTTCGACGCAACGACAGCCACGGCCGAGCTTGAGGAGATCGCCGTGAGATATCACCGTCAGGGGTCTTTCTATCTCGTGACTTCTATCTTATAGATAGCCAAGTCCTCTGCCTCCGAGGCCCTACAGGATGATTCAAGATGAAGTGTCTTTTACTGCCATTCAAATATGTACTCTCCTCACGAAAAAAGTATTTTTTTTTTTTATTATTATTATTATCGAGGCATTCTTTCTATTCGTCATGGACTAAAATTTATAATGCGCGTGATAAAAATATATTAAAGAATATAGTTTTAAGACACTAAAAATTTTTTAAAGCATCGATACATCCCTGTGAATTTATATTCTTTTTATCCGCGTACTTCTTGCAATATCATTTGTAACAATTTTCCTATCGCTATTCGCGCTCGAGGACTCATTAATCCTATCGGCCTGCCCTATACGTGCTTCCAACGTTGCGGTCGTGTCCAGATGCGTGGCACGTAAAGAAATCATGCGAAGATAATTCCTACACGGAGATATTATGTTGTGATATAAATTCGAGTGCCGAAGTATTACTCACCGCGAACGACGAGCGATAGAGTGTGTACATGTGTGACATGTCTGGGCGTGCATATGTGTGTGTTCACGGTTCCCGCGCGAAAGCAATGAATACGGGATGCGGGATCAATTCAAACGACAGATTAAATGCCCTCGAGATCGGGGTCGTAAGAAGGAAGGGAAAGGATTCGATGCATCGGCAGGGCTCTTACTACGCGCGATCGAGGACCTGATACCAAGACGTGCGTCGAATGCTCGAATATTTTTCGTCGCGTTTTCATATTAGAATCTCGAAAATCTCGTTTCTCGTGAACATAAGAAGAAACCGCGAAAATCATACAAATAACAGAATTATTTATATTCTCGCGATAAAATCGAGAACTATAGTTTTTCGATAAAATGTTGATATTAGCGTGAAAAAAACAAACAAATGCAACGATCCATGGGATGCGTATGTGCGAGCACAATAAATTCGTATTATTCTCTTTTTAAAAGATTATTTGTTCAGCGACCGGTTAGTTCTATTTTCTACGCAATGTTACACGATTATTTCCTCCCTGCACCTTGCATCGGACGAATAAAGTTTCCGACATACGGCAGCCGCATACCTGATGATGCGCTCTTTTCTCCCATCGCGCTCGCAGTCATCTCCACTTCTGTCGCCGGGCCTTTCGCGCATCATCGTGAATCGCCTAATCGCATTAGTTCTACGTCTCACGTACGCGATACGTAATTTACCGGTCGACGAAACCGCGCGAGGAAAATCGTGGAAAATGTATAGAATTTTTTTTTTAATACGCGCAATGTATATTATAGAATACTAGCCATAAAAAATTTCTCGACCTTTCGTTTTTATTATCTTACTTCGAATCAGCTGGTGTCTCTTGCGGTTTGATGCTTCGATTATTTGCCGTGTACCTCGACATTCGCGCATTTACACAAGTCGAAAGACGAGTATCGGCCGTTTATACGCCGTTCCCCTCTTTCTACGGAACGTCGGCGTGTCATTATGCCACACAGTTTATGTAATTCTATGAAATCTCTTCACGGTCGCGTCCGCGCGCGGGTAGCTCATTTCGCCGATTTGCACGAAATCATATAAATTTAACGTCATATTCCCCAGCCGTGTATAAACATCACTAGTAATTTTCCGTCCGCAGACGGCGATGGTAATCTGCATGCCTTTCAACACCGGCGAAAATGCGCACCGTCTCAACCGGATGCGTAGGTTACGCGTCCCTGACCTAGGACATCTCGATTTTGTAGAGCTAAAAAAAAAAGACGACGAACGTGCCGTCTCTCGACGGAGAGAAATATTAAAATATCTCAATATGAGAAGATCTTTCGTAACGAATCGATCATCGTTTTTCCGATTTATGGGATTAAAAGTTTTTCTTTTCGAAAATAAGAAACAAGACAACTACCGAGGAAAATTTATGCAACGATATGTTAACGTCTTCATGTAATCCGGAGTGTCATTACAGACACATCCGACTCGCGGGAGATATATTCAGTCTTCCGGCGCAATTAATCCATCGCCTCGATAACCCGCGTTCATCGATATTCAGAAACGTTGCGGCGACGCTGGCGGGCGGGTTACATATTCAAGCGTAATGCATGAATAAATTGAAACAGCACGAACGGACGCACGGCCACGGATATCAACCGCCGTATTTATATCACCGGCTGAAACTATTGGACGGGCGGGAATATGCTGGTATGCGTTTTCAAAACGTAAGATAACAGGAGGAAAACAACGAGAGGTATGACAAGAGCCTGGAGGCGCTGCGTTGGATACACGTCGACGTTTAAAAACGAACGGAAACGCAGTCAAAACCGTATTCACTAATAATAGAGCAGATAGCGCACAGAAGGATAGAAATACATACGACTTCCTTCCTTCAACGTGCTCTAAAAATAACACACGAACGTTCGACACATCGGCACATCGGGCAGAAAAAAGGCTGTCCAATTCAAACAGTAGATACCGCGCGACCAGCACGTGCTTCCACTTATCCATGGTCATAAATCAGCTGATTTGTGCGCGTATGCGTGTGGATCGCGACCCGGCAAGCGTGTGAACTTGTAACCCGAGTCGAAACGCGCCGTTGACTTGGCCTCGCGCGATCGATTCGGTTGTCGGGTTGAAGATTGAGTCTAATACACCGGAATCTCGTGTTTAATTTACGATGCATATATTTACGAGCGCATTTTCAAAGAAGAATTATAAGAAGCTTACACTTGGACCGTATATATTCTCTCGTGTAATTTACATAACAAGTTTATCGTTAAACTATTTTCCATCTTGCCACCGACATAGTATTTAAATCATGCGCTATTTAACCGTGCAATTTTTTTCATTTATTTACTTTTCTACAACAAAAGTTGCATAGCTTCATCATATATTTATTCGCATTCGATCGAACGCGGTTCTTTCTATTCGAGCGGGTCAAAGGGTCGATAAAGTACTAAAGCTATAGGTCTACAGACGATCCGTATTACGATTCCATTTGTAGAAGTTACTTCATTATTAATTACCATACGTACAAAAGTATGCGGAATCAAATAAATATATATATATATATAAGCTGAACTGAATATATGACGTCGCATGTTTCAACGTACTCACATTTTACACCATCGAGCTCAATTAAACTAGAAACATAACAGAACTGCAACCTCGTAGAATTGCAGTAATATATATCACACGGCGATCTAGTTCGTAGCACTATGATTTTAATTCCGTACTCTATTTTTTGCCATATAACGTATATTATGTTCGAAACGCTCCCGATTATTCGCATTAATCACACGTGATCGTATCGAGGATAGAGGCGAGCACCGTTTTTACATTCATCTATTCCACCTGTCACCGCGTAATATGCGCGATGCGGATTCTTATCCAAAGATCGTTGATCAATATGTGATCGCCTTTCACGCGAGATAAGAGCTCGATCGAATTTACGTTTATCACACGATATCGCGATCTTGGATTTTGTAAATTCCTTTGCTTCGATTCTGTCTCAATCGAGGTTTTAGTATTTGTAATAGGCGTACATTAAATAAGAAAAAATGTCTTTCCAAAAAAATCTCAAAAAACCTATAACTAATAGATAACACAATCTGTCACATTCGCAGCGTAATAAATTACATATGTTAGGATGGAAACCGTGTTATGAATCTTGTCTTGACATGAAAATTAATTTACATAAGACAGATAAGACGCTACTTTACAAACTCGCAGCTCGATATTAAAACCTCTCTGTGTTGCTCGTCTTTTTCCAATCGACTCCGTAATCGTGGCGAGTTCCACAAAGCCGATAATCCGTCGATATAGTTGTCGTTGTTGTCTCTATAAAATCACGTCCTACCGATCGCACAAACGGCCGTAAAGCGGAATCCTAACAGAAGCGTTAGGATCGTTCGTTTCGACATGGCGACGGACGCGGAACGGGTTAAAAGCGAGTTAATGGCGAGTCGTCGGCGAAGAAATGTCGACAGGCCAACCGGACAGTCGATTCTTCTCTTTCTCTCTATTCAACTTTTCCGGCGATCCGCCGCGAAGACTTTTTCACGGCGTCTATCTTGTCGCGATCACGGAGTCGTGGCGCACGCCGGGGTGAAAGTTGCTCACCGCGAAATAAACATCGCGAATAACGATTACGATAAAACCACACGAGCCAACCGATAATTTCATTCGCGCGAATTGCCCTGACGTTTGTTCGATTTCCTTCGGCAGTATTCGATTTCTTTCAGAATGTTCTACGATATATTCGAATCAAATTTTTTTTCTACTTTCGATCACAATTTTCAATCTAACATCTACTTTGATACTTTAAACTCAAAACACTCTTTTTTAAACTATTTAATCTATAGTTTTGCTAAAAGCTCCTGTTTAATTCTCTAAATGGAAAACTAATCGTTTATTGTTTATTCGAGATATCAAATAGGACTTTAATTCCTATATCAATTAAATCTATAGTTGTTTAAAAGCAATAAATGTGAGAAAATTAAAAGTAAAAATAGAAACTAAGTTCCGGGTTTCCAAAATATAAATTATGTCCCATAATTTTTAGCATTATATATCTTAATAATTTGTCATGAATTATAACTCTATTAAAGTAAGTAATTTTCTACATTGCAACATTTTTGTTAGAAAAAATTAATTTTAAACAAATAATTCATGTAAATAAAATTTTTCAGATACATTATATATATATATAGGAAAAGAAACGAGATTGTTTGAAGACACTCTGTATGCCCGTATATATGAATTGACCAGACGGGAACGGCGACCCGTCCGGCGCGGTCCTTTGTCAAAGTCCCTTAATCATAGCCTCATTTCTCAAGCGGAATCTCCCGCGGATCTCCGTGCACGGAGTACGCGGTGTGACGAACGACTCAATTATTGTCCAGTGCCCCTCAGGGGGAGAGGAGAACTCACTTACCTCTTCTACGAGAGATCTCTGCATATTGGTCCAGCACAGTTTGCACGGGCACACGTCCTTACTCGTGTCCTTCGGGTTCTCATTCCGTTCGCGGTCGTTCCGCGCGTTGCCAGCGACGGCCTGCGGTGGCGGCGGCGGCACCGGTGGTGGCAGCGGACTCGCGGCCACTTCGAGGCTGTCTGAACTCGAGTTGTGACGTCGCGGCGGCGTGATGTTGCTGCCGACGTTCGCCTGTTGGCAAGTCGCCTGTCTGACCTCGCACAATCTGCCGTGCTCGATGCCACACGACATTTGTTGGCCGCATTTAATGGCCAATGATGGAGACACGAATACATTTGTTGTGCACTTGTTGCTCGGCTGCTGCGGCTGCGGTCGCAGAAAATCATCCAGCAGATAAAAGCTCTGCGCGCGATTCGATCTGTTGGTGGAAGTCATAGTGCGAGTCTCCACGGTACTCTGTTCCGCGGCTCTGCAGAAATCGCGACCGTCTCGATTGTTCCTGCATTGTTCTGGATCATCCAGCTGATGACGGCTACGTGGCGCGGCGTGTCTCTCGTCCAGATCTCGATCAATTGCCGGCTCGTTGTCTTGGTACAATCTACGGCTAACCTTCGATCTGCCAACGGCCTGGCCAAACTCTCCGTTCTCTCGATAAACGTCTCTACTGACTCGGGAGACTCGCGCCGAGTAGGAAGTCGGCTGATGATAGCGTCCTTTGCAGCTCGAACCGCGTGATTCCTCGCGAAAGTGCTCACCCTCGATCATGGACACGCTCATATTGTGCGACAAGGAGTTCTGGCTAGTGTGGGAACTACCGCCGCCAATGTTGGCGGGAGTCCTCAAAAGTGCGCCGAGGGACCGCCACTTCCGGTCCTGTTGATTCGTCGATGTAGACGAGACGGAGGATCTATTCCACTTCCTCTCGTTCGACGGTGACGTTAGTAGGCTGTTACTTACAGACCACTTCCGCTCGTTCGTGGGCGACGTCATCGAGGACGGCCACTTTCTCTCGTCCGAGGGCGATGCCATCGAGATATTGGACCAGTGGCGCACCGATGACGTGCCGATAGCGATGGCACCGCTACCACTGGTTTTCTCGCGTTCTCCCGCAAATTGTTCCTCTCGTTGTCGGGCCTTCCACCAAGACGATGTCGAAGTGAAGAGAATTAGCGCGCCCCTGAGAGGGTTCTGATTCTTGGCCGTTCCCTTCGGTGAAAGGTCGCGGTCTTTGACCTTCAGTGAGCAATCCCTGAAATTGGAATCGCACTCGCGATCGCTGAACGCGGCAGCATCGCGCTGTTCCCTCAGAGCGTTCTTCGCGGCCGCCACCTCCTCTTCGTGATACAAGGTCGCATTCGTGCTACGCAGTCGCGGTCGGATCTTCACAAAGCCGTAATCGTTACCGTCTTGAACGGGATCAAGCGGTTCGCGGGACTGTTGCTGCCGATGATGCTGCAGCAGGGAAGAATGCGTTGCCGCCGCCGCCGCCGTCGTCTGGCCGCCGTACTGATGATGACCGTTGCTCAGCTGTAGACTCGGTTGTTGCAGCAGCGTCGAGGTCCTCGCGCGATGGCCTTCGCTGGCGGTGCCACGTTGCAAGCACGAGAAACTCGCCGAGTGCCGTAAGCTCGAGGGCGTATTGCCCGGCTGACTCACGCCCAACATATCGCCACCTTTTATTTTCAGTCTTCGATCTCACGTGAGAGGCGGATGTGTATAGATATTAATGTGAACGTGTGTATACGATGAGGGTAGGGCTTATACAAAGGGGCAAGGCAGGTGGAGAGGCAGTTAGCGAGAAGTGAGAGCTAAAATCGACGAAGGAGAAACGGTACAGCGGACGGAGCAGCGATTTCAGCTCGTCATTACTCCTGGCAGTGTTTTTATCAGTCTCGGCGATAACATCCGGAAGAGAGGATCTCTCTTCTTCCCTCCTTTTCTTCTAGACTAATCTGCTCTTGCCTCGGTCGATTCCTCTTCCCTGTATCGCGCGCGTCATCATCGCCCTGACTCGAGACTTGTGTAGTTCTCTCTTTCTTTCTCTATCTCTTTCTGTCGTCGAAAAGCCACCCTGCCATGGGCTACATCCTCATCGCTACAAAGTGTCTCTCTCTTTCTCTCTCTTTCATGCACCGTATGCGACGCCTATGGATCGTACGAGATCTGTAACAGAAAGTAGGAACAGGGTAGGGAACAGCAAACTCAAAATAAAAATGGCTGCGATGAAACGAAACGACGGTAGTGGCGCGTCCGTGAAAAAAATCAAAGTGCCCGATGAAGTGAACGGGGAGGGCAACGTTACAGGGGAAAGTGGGAAATGTGGAGGCAGGAGGAAGGTAATTTCATCATGGGCCACGCGTGATGAACGCGACGATTCCCGAGATTAGCTATCGAAAGTCTCAGGACAGTCGCGCGAGCTGTGATTCACAGGAGGAGATCGGTGAAGGATGAAGGTCGTTCTGCGGCCAGCGTGCCCGAGACAAGCTATATCGGCATGTCTACTCCCCCTTCAAAATGTTTTCCATGAAAGTTCGCCGTGTTTTTACAATGAACGAGCGACGAGGTGAAACGCGCTTCGTTAAATTCTTTTCTCGGAAATATGCGTGGAGTTCTGAGCAAGAAATAATTTGTGCTAGAGAGATATATGATTAGAGAAAAGATTTTTCTTACAATTAATGTTAATATGAAGAGAGTATTAGAATCAAATATAAAGCTTGCAAACAAACTTTCAATTTAAAATTTAAATAGCCAAGATATTGTAAGAATATTTAAATAAACAGATACAAAGATATGCAAATTTTTTTTTATCGAGAGCTTGCTTTTAATTTACTTGCTCGGAATTTACATATTATGTTCCATTCAATATCTTGCAAGTGTAAGTATGTTGCAAACACACACACGGTGATTAAAATATGATGTTACTAAATTAAATGCAAATGAGGATGAATAAAAGTACAGAATTGGAGCGTATCGTTCGGATGTAAATACAATGCTTGAATGTTGTTATTTGATTACACAGTTTGCAAAGCCGAATTGTACACTGCTGAAATTGCGACACAGCAAAATGAATATAACAGAATTTTCGCGGAAATATCGTCAGTACATGTCGCGCTAATGAAATGTAAAAATGATCAATGGACTGTAATTTTTTGATGCAATGAATAAAAGCCGGTGATGTATCGACATGCTCCTCGATAATACATAATCAATGCAACCTATTAAAAAGAAGCTCTGGGGAAACAGAAACCGAGAATTACGGAATTATTTCGTCAACGAGGATAAAGGAGAAAGGAGGATTTATTTCAAAATTTAGGGCACTACGCATCTTCTCTTTCAAGTCTACAATATTGGCGTAATTATTTTTTAAGCATAGTTTCGACTGTTGTTAACGTGGTTAATATTCGCAAGGAACGCATCTAGTGGCTGATTAAAAAGATCCGTTGTGTACTTGACAAAGCGGCAAACCGTGCCGTTCCTAAAGGTTCTGTCTAAAAATAGAGAGAAGGAAACTTTTGTACTTTGTCAAGTCGACAGCTTTCCGAAGGCAAAGTTACCGAAGAACGCTAGGAAGACGCGGGGTGGAGGATTGCACTTTATCACGACACTAGTCAATCGCGACTGTTAATTAAGGCTCTTTTCCCTTTTCTTTCCTCTCGCAAACAAAGCTGCATTAGCTTTGTTGATAATATATGCAACGCCGTGTCGTCACACGAGATATCCCAAGAGAACGCTCGACTCGCTCGTGTCAGTTTTAAGCAATCCGTATAATTATCCGCGTGTCGTAAGACATCCGGTGATTCCGCGACACCCCGTAGATACGAGGCGCGATCGGAACGGAGGAATTCGCTCGCTCGCGCTAACATAAGCTCCAATATAAAACGGGTTACACCGCTCCCCAGGATTTCTCTGACTTTATAGCAACGGCACGCGGCCCGTCTACTGCGCGTCTGTATGTACATGTGTACGTAGGTGCGCAAAACGGGTGAAAGGTTTTTCAAGGCGGGAAAGCAAGTGACACCCACACGGCGAACGTAGCGTAAGCGACGCACGGCGATGCGAAAAGGCAAGGCCGCGTTCGCGCGGATAAAAGTTCGCGGCGCGCTCTTGCGAAATCTCAGCGCAAGCAGGCGCAAACGCCTGTCGTAACAATAATAACACGTAATGGAATAGCCGCGAATCGCGCGCAATTAGATATCGGATATTTGCCGGCCGATCGATCGCTTTTCCAATTACGCTCGCTCTTTTTCTAGCACTGATCCTTTTGCTTCGACGACGCAATCTCTCTTTGATTCTCGAGACCGACATTTCTCGGGTATCTCACCTCACGGTTCGCATCGCGGGGATTTTCTCGAGAGCGCGTAACGTAATTTAGTTAAAATTTCACGTGTATGTGTGTGTGTATATGTGCAATTGCCACGTAATAAACTTTCGTCTTTATTCGAGTAAGTAAGCCTCGATTCCTCGCGCGGGAATGTACGCATATATTTATATGCCGTTGCATTCTTGGATACTTGAATATGTATATTTCATGTATCCATGCATCACATGTATATTTTGTTTACGTGACGCACCATAACTAAGAGCGTGAATTTAAGCTAAACCGAATTTTACGGCCAACGCGCCTTCGCGGATGCAAAACGGTTCGCGCTCTCGTTGCGATCGTGCGAACACGAAAGCGCCAGTCAATTAGCTCGACGATTTGACCGTATCGTTTTTAAATACAATACGCATTATTCTAGAAAATCGCGGACCGCATAGCATTCAGGGCATAAAGTCGACAGTCATTACGCGCGCGATGAATCCAATCAGAATAAGAGCGATGAATGATACATTTATCTGCACGCGTACACCTACATAAATCTCTCTTTTGTATCTATGTAAATGTAACCAGATTATAATTTAAGAAATTATAACTTTGTAGAAATTTTATACTCCTGATTGTCCAGACATTTAATATTAAAAAAATTGGCAATCCTCGAGTCGAAATTTTCTCCTACTTTAAATTTCAATTTTCAGTCTAATATTTTCAGTTTAATATTTATTTTGATATTTTAAATATCAGAATAGATATTAAAATTATCCTTTTCGGAACTATTTAATTATTATAGTTTCCGAAAAAGGTATCTCCTTTTTTGAACCTCTAATAATAAGTAGGAAACGGTTTTTACTGTCTGTTGAGATACAAGATAGAAGAGTTCAATTCCTATTATAAATTAAATTTATCAAAAATTTTTAAAATCTAAATGTGAGGAAACTGAAGTTAAAAATGAAAATAAAATTTCGACTCACAATCAGATTTCTCCTTTGAAAATGACTATCATCCATCAATTTCAGCTGAGAAAGATTCGAATCCGTTGAGGAAATTTGCGATTGAAGTCTTTCTCGTTTGGGGACGGTGCTGGGACACCGCGTGCATATATATCAGCTGATCGCCATATACAGGAAACTCTCACCTCGCATTGTTCGCGCGCACGCGTCGAACGCGATGAATTCGCGCGTAACGCGATGCCGCGAAAGAATGCAGAACGTATAAAAATAATCCGCCGCGCGCATTTGCGCTCTGGATATCGCGAGTCATCGTAATTGGCCGGAATCCTCGGCCGTAACTAATTACGGGCCCGGTATATAATAAGCGCGCTCGGGCGGCGCCGCGGCTCTTGCGCCAAGAGATTTATTGCGAAAGAAATTTGAAAGCTCTTCCTCCTCCGGGCGCGTCGTCCCCGAGAGGCTCCGATTAATTTTGAAAGGCGGCGAGTTGCGCGATCGCGACAGGAAAACGCAACGTATGGTTTCGCTGGAAATCCGCGACGGTTTTTGTTGCTTAATTCCGCTTTCGCGGGCGAATCGCCGACGTGTCGTAAAAATAAGAATATAACGCAGTGTATAAAGCTAATTCAGTTAGATAAGAAGTATAAAGTCTATGAGATATAGAAGGAAATTAAATAAATAGTTACTTATCTCAATTCAAGCTCAATCGTGAACAATCAATCTAATATATCTTTAGAATATTCTTCTAGCGGAGAAAGGATTATAAGGCTGCAAGTGATTAGTCATGATGTAACAACGCGCTGTTAAAATGCATGTTCATTCCGTTATTTTTTTAGCGCATAATTAAGACAGGATTATTTATCGATGAGTCAGTAGCTTTTAGTGATTGGATGAGAGAAAGGGAGAGAGAGGGAATTTTTCCGATCGTGCAATAACATGCTCGAATTCAATCTCTGGTCGAATCCGGGGTTTCTGACTTACGACAGGTTTGACATCGACGTCCGCGCTTGCATTGTGGCCGCCCAGAATTGCGCAGTGGAATAATTTCGTAGTACGATTTATTGGCCGGAAGAGATTTCCGCGCCGAAGCAGGCTGCAATCGCAAGATTACACACGTGTGCACGTGGACGTGCTAAAACCGCGTTTGTCAATTCCAAACGCTGTGTTATGACATGTCGATTTCGCGCGCGGGCGAAAATTGTTTCCCCGTGTGCCGATACATAATCGTGATACAAGCTTGACTCATACCTTTTCGTTATACAATATTCGATTTCGTCATACTTCTGTAATTTTTATAACAATCGCGCCAGTTCCCTGCTATTTATCAAGGAAATGCATTCGCGATAATTTTCCAAAGTTACGTGAAATATTAAATATCAAGTGAAAAAGTTTCGTCAGAGATGTAGTCGCGGTCTTGGCTTGTAACTATATTCGGAAACGTGGCTTCTCACTATCCGTAATGATTCCAATCTTCCGTTGATTAATTATAAACATAAAAATGTCTTGGTACTTAATTTAATGCAAATTAAGAGCGACGTAAAAACGTCGTATATATTCCGACTATCTTTCAGACGATACACGCGAGGTTCTCGTTTATAGCAATGATATTGAAAAGGAGGGTCCATTTCGACGAACCATCGAACGATCGTTAAGAAATACGTAACCGCGTCCTGTCGAAAGATACTGACAGGCATATAAAATATGGCAATAAATGTCCGCCCGAATATGGGCTCGATAAGCGGAAGCGCGTCGGCGAAACTCGAAGGGCACGAATGAAGGGAAGATGAAGAAGGTTAAATATATATATCGTATAATATATATATCGAAGCTTGCCTCAATCTTCAAGCCATAGAATCTGACAAAGTCGATCATTCCTTTCATCTGTCAAGT